CTGGCCCCCGCGCCGCTCGCCCGGCCCCCGCCGCCCGCCTCGGTCCCAGCCCGGCCGGGCCCGGCCGTCCGCCGGGGCAGCCGCCGCCTGGGTGCCGGTGGGGGGTGGAGGAGGAAGAAGGAGACAGTTGAGGGCAGAGGAGGTGAAGGTGCCTGCTGCCTTCCCGGTAGTCTCCGAGTCCGCCGTGCCCGCTTCGCGAGGGGAAGAGCTGCAACGTCTGACCTACTCTTCTCTCCACTCTCTTTGTGCAATAAAGTTCGAAACCCAAGGCTTCCTCTCGTGCTGTATTTTATTCGTGCCCGCTCCTTCATGGTTGGGGAAATGCTGTTTTCTGCCCTTTGCTGCTTAGTTGGATGATGAGAGCTCGTGCTTTTTTAGGGAAATTTTGACTCTTTCCCTCACCCCTCCGCTTTTTTTCAAAAAAAGCCAGTAGTCATGGAAATGCGTTCTTTTTGGGAGGAAGGGGGTGCTAAAAAAAACATATTTGTAATAACTTTTTAAGAAAACTGTTGGGATCTTGTAAAAGGGAAGCTGGTGTTTGAAAACAGTTTCGGTTTTTAACCCTTTTCAATAAGGTAATAATCGCTTGAGGTCTATCATTCTGAAACACTTCGTTGACACGAATATTAGCCTATGTACTTTTGTTTTACATCATTTTGCGGGGGAGGGGGGCACAACCTTGCAAACCACGTTTGGGTCGCTTGTATCTCCCTCCGCCCCTCCCACTGTGTTTCCCACATATTTTTGTCTAAACTTCAGTGAAAGATTGATTTAATATTAATTCTAAAAATAGGCTTTAAAAGTATCCATTGTTTGTCTCGCATGCAGTAGGTAAACCCAGTCTTGAGATTGACAACAATTTAAACTACAAGCCTTATTTTTTCTTCGCATGTTGGCAAAGAGGGACAGCAGAAAAGTCATTGACACATTAAAGATTATAAGACAGTTTTTAGAGGACCTGCAGTGTGACCTATTTAAGTTTGTAATACTTTCTCAAGAATTTCGTTCTAAGCCTCAGCTTGCTCTGCCTTCTAAAGGTTTAGTATAAGATCCTTTTGGTTGTTGCCCACTGAAATCTTTCACTGCTCATTTCCTGATATGAAAGTAAAACCAAAAACGGTTACATTAGTTGGTGCAAAAGATGGACAGGTTGTTTTAAAAATACTTATCAGTCTGTGTATGACTCAATCGTGATTGATATATTCAAGGCTTCTGGTTAGGAATAAATATTGATTGGTAATAGAAGCACTGTTTTCTGTATCCAAGTCACTTTCCCAAAACATACTTTGATGTATTGCTAGTCTTTAAAGTACCACAGTAACAATTTGTTATTGCCAAGAAACTTAATTGAAAAGATGCAATAAAAGGAATTTTTCTACAAGGATTGGGAAAATAATTTTATTTCCAAACACTGAGGAAGGACTCTCTGTGAGATTTTTTCTGGAAAAAAAAAAATTGTTTTCTAATATGTTCTTCAGTCTTATCCAAAAGATTTTTTAAATTTTATTTTGTATATAGATTCAT